ATCAGGTTTTAAGGATCTGATTTTTTTTTTAATAAAAAGAGCACAATGAATTGTATCCTCTCTGTTGACTCATCTCCTCATCTCCATTAAATTGTCTACTCCATCTCCAAGTTCACATTCCCCATCTAGAAGTTTACTGAACTATATATGAGCTATTTTACTTGGTCATAATTTTGGAAGAAGAGTTCTTCTTAATAAAGTCTGCTGCACTTGTACCTGATGGGCCACTGTATAATTCAGTGTTCTATTCAGAAAGAAAGATGATATAGTCATTTAGTTTAGCCATAAAACCATAGGGAACAATCTGGTTACAAAGGACTTGTTGGTTTAGAGTCCTATTTCTTTTTTCATGTTAGTTTTGTTCTATTCCTCAAAAGGAGATAGTATCTTAAATACTGATGACAATCTGTGCAGAAAAGGAGATTGTGATCAAATGAAGTATATCCTAGATGCATTTAATTTTTATTGAATAGACTATTACCTAAGAGAGAAAGCACTCCTGAGGGGCATAGAAGTAACTGGGCCTATGCGGCTCAGGAGACATTTATACTGACCTTATTCCTCCAAAAACCCTTGTCCTGGGAAGCTCCTAATTGAGAGGTGTGGAGTTTAGTACTTCTAAAGTGAGAAACAAGCCCTAAATCATTCTATGTAAGGCTTGGCATTTGTGACAAATGTCATACTGTTCTATTTAAGCACACCACATGACTTAGGTATCAAATTAAGAGAGATGCCCTAAATGATTCCAACTTTGTTGTAGCAGTTACCTGTTTTTTTGAAACACCGATAGACAAGGAGCACAACAATAAAACAAAACATCACAAAGAAAAGTGGAACTAAAGCCTTCAGCCAAATATGGACTGGAATAAACAGGTTATCTGAAAGAAAGAGCAGAGCAATGTGAAGTTCAATAAACTCATGACATGCACCATTATTGCATTAGAAATTTTACTGCAAATAAGCAGGATTTCCCTTCAGGTCCTATATTACCTTTTTTTTGTATTTGGGTCAGGGCTAAAGAGCAGTGAAACTGTTTTAGTGACAAGTATAGAGCTTGGGATTGAGCTTGTTTGGGGGACAGAAATGAAACTGAAGCCAAGTGGAATGAAAGAAGTGTCTCTCTTGTCTCTTACTAATATCCAGTACAAATTCTTCCTGATTACAAAGGAAACAATCGATGCTGGGGGTTGAAAAGCTCAGTGGCTGTAAGAGAGCCTCAAAATTATCTAGAGAGCTCTTAGGATGTAAGGATAATGAAGACAAAGGTCTTTTTTTTATGGTTTGCATTTTTGACAAGGCATCTTATAAAGTATTTTCCTTGAAAATGGTTTGTTTCACTTGTAGCATTTAAATTCTAACCTATGTGAAATTCATTTTTGTATATGGTTGCATGCATGAATCTTTTTTATAAAAAAAGTTGGATAAAGTAATTTTGAAGTTAGTATGGAAGAATGAATATCTGTAAATAGTAGAAAAAAGTTTAAATAAATAGGTAGAATTTATTTTATCAGATAAAAAACTGCCTACAATACAGAGGGATGTAAAGTATAGCATAGGGAATATAATGTTGTATTAACTATGTATGGTGCTTGGTGGGTTCTGCATTTATCAGGATGATCACTTTGTAAGTTATAGAAGTGTTTCATATAACTATGTTTTATACCTGAAACAAATATAATGTATGTCAATTGTAATCCTATATAATAAAAGCCTAATATGCTAAGTGTCCAATCTTCCGGTTGTCCCTTCAACCAGATGTAATATGCTAATGACATGCTAAGGCCACTCAACCACTCGCTATGACATGCACTGACCACCAGGAGGCAGACAGTAGACTGGTCGGCCAGTCGCTATGACTTGCACTGACTACCAAGGGGCAGATGCTTGGACCGGTTAGCTTGTTGCTGGGGTCCGGCCAATCCAGACTGAAAGAGATGTGCCAGACATGCCCTGGAGCCCTCCTACCATCCCTCCCCAACTGGCCAACCTCCTGCACCCCTCCTGGGTCCTGATTGTGCACCAGTGGGATCCCTTGGCCTGGCTTGAGCCTTCTTGCAATCTGGAACCCCTCAGGGGATGTCAGAGAGCCAGTTTTGGCCTCATCCCACTCAATGCAGGAGCTGCCCCCTGGTGGTCAGTGCGCTCCCACAGGGGGAGCACCGCTTTGCCAGAAGCCAGCCACAATGTTGGTAGTGGGAGCCTCTCCTGCCTCTGTGGCAGTGCACCGGGCCTTTAGTTAAAAAATAAAACATTATTAAAATCTGATTACAATGAAGTGATTATATTTATTTTGGATTAATTTCGTCTTCATGGATATAAATATTCCCATTCAAAGCATTCTTTCACAAACATTTTTGTCCTTTTGAGGTCTTTTAGACAGAGTATGTGTTATTTTTCAAGTGGGTTCTGCATCTGCCTTGTGACTCTATGTATTTTGTGGATAAAGTTAAATGCATGCTATTTTTCCCCTAATACATTTTCTTGGGGGTTTTAACTCTTTTTTATTACATCTTCACTCTAGTTTATAATTAAGAAAATATATTACATATTTGTCTTTTGGTTTCATATCTACCTGTACCATATATTTAGTACTTTTTAATGATAACATTTTTTTGGATAGCTTTCCAGGAAAAACAAAGTTTACCATGAAGTGCTTTTGCAGATTTCATGCTTATATTAAATGTTTAATATGTTTTAATATTTGTGAATTAAATAAAGGTATAAGAGCTTTATTTATTACATGAAATATAAAAAAATTATAACAATATTGCTCATATAGTGCATGAAAGCCTTTTCTTCCCAAGTTTATTATTATGTAACTTGACTTCAGGTATTATCCACTTAATTGCATCAGCTATGGCTCCATTTTTCAAATATTATGCTTATTTTAAAGCCTATTCCAATTTGAAGCTAATATTTGAATGTATCTATATAATTCCTTTTAATTTGTATAAGAAGCAACTATCTTTAGTGAAACAGCAGAAAATATCAGAAAGAGTAAAAAGAGGTTCTAGTGGAAATTATTTGTTATCATTGATAAAAAAATGAGATCAAAACAAATATTTCTGAATATTGCTCTTTGCCTGCTGTGTCTACTTATTTCCTACCTCTCTCCTTATTCCTTCTCAGATACTTTGCAAGTTTCCCTTATAAATCTAAAGGACATCTAAAAGGTATGCTCCAAAATGCAATTCTAGAATTTTTATTTTTTTCTGTTTCCATTCTTTTTTTTTAAAAATCTTATCCAGTGTCACAGTTATAAATATTCTTCTTAGATTGAAGGTATTCACATTATGTCTCAAGCTTGGTCCCTTCCATAGAATTTTAACTCCTAGTCAACAATTTCATTTGCATGTCATATAAACATGGTCTTTTCTCATCTTTACACACTTCCCCATCTTAGTAGATGCAAACTTATCCTTCATGACTCAGAACCCTAACTTTATAATTATTCTTTATTCCTCTCTCTCTCTCTCTCTCTCTCTCTCTCTCTCTCTCTAGTGTTCAAGGGCATATCATTCCCATTCTCTCTCTCTCTCTCTCTCTCTCTCTCTCTCTCTCTCTCTCTCTGTCATCACATATTCAATCCATCAGTGAGTCCCATGATTAGCACTTCATTTAAAATATTTATAGAATCTTATCAAGTCTTACTATGTTTTTCTGCTGTATCTATTTCCAAGATCATTATTATAGACTCCTATCTAGCCAGGGTAACATTCTTCCTTCCCCCCACCCGCCTGAGTCCATGTTCTAATCCTCTAAAAGGATTAGAGAGGATTTTTAAGAAAAAAGGCTGTGCCTTCAATTAGGCCAGAAAGCGATCCCCTGAAGTGACAACCTGAAGACCCACCACTCTGCTCCTGTAATCAGTCTAGACATCTCTGCATAGGTGTTAGCTAAGGGTGCTGTTGTCACACAAAGGACATAGCTTTTTCCTGTTTGACCTTTGATGTCCACCCACCATGCTTCTGAAGGTGATATATTGGTCATTAATAAAAAGCCTGTGCTTTAGTTACAAATTTTACTTATTGTCGGTTTGACTGGCTTCTCTCAACCGGTTTACCTATAAATGGTCATAATAATGCCTTCTTACTGAATTTTCAGAAAGTTTTAAAGGTAGAAGATTTTAGCTTTTACTAATACATTTGTATGACAAAATGTCACAAAAACCCATGAAGAATGATTATACTTATTTCTAAGATAAGAAAAGTATATTCAGGAAGGTAAGTGACATCTTTAAGTCACTGAGCTAGAAACTTGTTAAGCTTACACATGAATACTGTGAATGAAGATAGGGCTCTGTAATAAATCAGTGCCAAAAGTAACCTCACAGGCTAATTTGATCATAAAGTCCTAACTGGGCAGGTCATGGTGGATAGTCATACCCGAGGCTTAAAACGTCTTTAGTAAAAGGTTTACTTTCACCTTAAGTAAGACTTACCCATTGCTCTTGTGCACCTTGGTTAACAGACCTTTGAAATGCTAGAGTAATCCTTTTTTTGCAGACTCCTGGGAGGCATAAGCACCCTCAATGGATCATAGAATCTTGTTAACTATCATGTAATCTAATCAAAGAGATTTTCCTGCCTTGCTGTCTCCCACTTCCATGTAACCTTTCTTTCGTCCCTCTTTAATCCAAATATATAAAAAGAACTGCAAAACTGTCCTTCTTAGGAGCATTCTAGATCTTGCTTCCAGGCATGTCTTCAATTTGGCTCCAATAAACTCTTATAAAAATTCTCCACAGGTTTGGACATTCTTGCAATATTATGAGGGTCTAATGAGATAATGCACTTTCCTTAAAACTATAAAGTGTATTTCATTTCATGGGTTGTAATTATCTTTCTAATTTTTTTTCCCTCTAAAGCCTTTCTCTCAGCACTTGACAATATCTGTGTACCCAAATCTATAACAATTATAGAGTCACATTGAAAGAGTGCTTGATGATGTAAAAAGCTTTTTAACATTAATTATCTCATTTATTTTCTCTATATGTTGACTTATTGACAACCAAACCCTGACAAACACTCACCAGCTAAGATGATATTTATTTGTTTTTCTTCATTTGACAGAGGGTTGTGAATGTAGCAAATCATATCACCCTGTGATTTGTAACTGAGGAGAAGAGTCATCTTGATGTGGAATAATCCAGCTCCAACCTGTGAATAGGATTGTGATGAATGTGGAATTACCTCTCCCTTGCTGTCTCTGCACACCATCTGGGGCTGTGGGAACCAGCCTCCTGAGTTACACTCCACCATAAGCCCATCAGTTCTAGGAGCCTGAATGTGGATCTGTGTCTCCAAGCCTAATGCTGGATAAATGATAGGAAATCAAGATAGTTATTGTGTTGAAGTTGAGTTGAAATTTGAAAGGAAAAGTGTCTCATTAATCTTGTATTCTGCAATATAAGAAGAAGTAACACTCAAATCTACATCAAAGCTACAAGTTAGACTATCTTTGGTCACTCAGCACTGTTTATTTGCTTCATAGTATATTTTTGCATTAGATATAGGGGTTATCTTCTATTTATAACACTTGAAATACTTTGTAAAATATAAAAAAGAATAAATAAAAAGTGATATATTTTCCACATATTTCAGCTCCTGGGGTCACAAGACCATTGATATGCCATGTTCCACCATAAACATACCTGCTACATTCAGGTCCATGCTTGCCACATTGCTGAAGTTGCCCTCCTTAAATGAACACTGGTAAGTTCCATTGTCAGAAACGCGGATATTATGAAGTCGGAGAGTCACTTTGCCCTCCCCAATGGCCTCTCTCACAAACTCTGTGCGATCCACATATTCTGGGGCGGCTTCCCCTTTCACTTCACGGCCATCTCTGTATAGGTGAACAAGCTTGGAATGGTCACCCTTGAACCAGGACACCTCCATGTGTTTTGCACTTTGTGGTGGGAATAGCTGGCAGCTAAGCTCAGTCTGTCCTCCTACTCTAGCCACCAAATGAACCGTGGGAATAGTCACTGTCCACTTCTCTGTAGAAAAAGATAGAAAACTAGGGTAACTTTGAGGCCAACAACATCTTTGTTGCTATATACTGAAGGATACACTGTCTTTTTCCCATCACACCTTGCCATTCTAAATATTCAGCTCTGAAAATATCCCCTTCTGTTTAAATCAATATTTTATTTTTTTGAAAAGACCACTGTTACTACATTATTCTCTTTAAAATATACTCACTTAGGTTCTAGAAAGATGACAGAGCAGAAAGTACCAGAAATCTGACTTACTACTTAGACAATAATTGCACTGGCAGGATCTGCCTGAAGTAACTATTTTAGAACTCTGGAGTCAACTGAAAGCCTTCAACTTCTAAAGGAAAGTTTGGATGGTAAATTGCATTAATTTTGGTCAATTTCAGCTCATATTACAGTAGCATAAACCCATCGCTCACCCTCAGCCCCATGACAGACAGCTGTGCAACTCTCCGTGGAGCCATTTTCACATAGCTTTTGGGAGTTCAAGTAAGCAAAAGAGGCTCTGTCCTTCAAATACTGGGGATCTGCGTAGTGATCACTGATAGCTGCTTCCAGTCATAGACACGGGAAGACAAAGAGGCAAGTGGCCATTGTCATATTTTCCCCTATGTTTTCAAGTCCCTCCTCTATGAAGTGACACGGGGAATTTAAAGGGTCAGTATTCTTTCACACACCCCTTCATTTTTCTCTTTTCCTCCTTAGAGAGCCAGACAATAAAGATTAGAACATTTAAAAGCTAGTACATATATGAGGGAAATTAAAAAGTGACCACACATGGAACAAACTTAGAAAAGAACTGAGGAGACCTTGGCATACAGACAGCTACAAGAAAAAAAATAAAACAAAACAAAAACAATTTTACAAAAGCTAACAAATCTTGGCAAAGAGGAGAATCATATTTTGAGTTAACAAAATAAATTTAAATATCCAGTTTGAAATTAAAAATTTAAAAATATACAAAACATACAAAGAAACAAGAGAATATGGTCCATTCCCAGGAACAAAGTAAATAAACAGGAACTCTCCTGAAAATATCTCAGAGCAGGTTTCAATTAAAGACTTTAAAACAACTTTTTAAAAGATGCCCAACTTCCTAAAGAACTATAGGAAGAGGTGAGAAAGCCAAGAAAACATTTATGAACAAAATGGAAATATAGACCCCAAAACATAAAAAGAAAACAAAAAGGAATTCTGGAGCTGAAAACATAACTGAAATTTAAAAATTCACTAGAGGGATTCAAAGTCAATTTGAAAAAGAAGAAAAAGAATCAGTGAACTTAAAAACAGGGCAATGGAAATTATTAAATCTGAGGAATAGAAAGAAGTAACAGAGTGTTTATATTATTAAAATTAAGAGTGTTATTATTTTAGGATGTTATATGCAATCCCCATGATAACCACAAAGACAATAGCTATAGAATATTTTTAAAACATATTTTTATTGATTTCAGGGAGGAGGGGAGAGGAAGAGAGAGATAAAAACATCAATGATGAAAGAGATTCATTGACTGGCTGCCTCCTGAATACCCCTTACTGGGGATAGAGGCTACAACTCAGGCATATGCCTTGATAAGGAATCAAACCATGACCTCCTGGTTAATAGGTCAACAATCAACCACTGACTCATGCTGCCAGGCCAGAATATGTTTTAAAAAAGGAAGAACTTTAAACATTTTCATACAAAAAATCAACTAGACAACAAAAAGAAAGTAATAAAGAAATAAGGGACAATAAAGCTATACGGCATTCAAAAAATAAATAAATAAATTACCAAAGTGAGTTGTTACTTTAAATGTGAATGGATTAAACTCTCCAATCAACAGACAGAGTTGGTTGAAAGGATAAAAAGCATATCATTCAGCCATATGCTATCTATAAAAGAGTCACTTTAGATACAAAGACTCAAATTAAAAGTGAAAAAATGGAAAAAAATAATGCAAGCAAGAAAAAAAACAGTAATCACTGTACAACATTATGAGTCTATTGAATATTACTGTACACTTAAAAATAGTTAAGATAGTTAATGCTATTTTACCACAAGGAAATTTTATACTTGATAGAAAATAAAACCACATATAGCAAAAAAATAAAAAGAAAGAAAAAAAGGAAAGGAAGGAAGGAAGGTAGGAAGGAAGGATGGAAGAAAGAAAGAAAGAAAGAGAGAAAGAAAGAAAGAAAGAGAGAAAGAAAGAAAGAAAGAGAGAAAGAAAGAAAGAAAGAGAGAAAGAAAGAAAGAAAGAGAGAAAGAAAGAAAGAAAGAGAGAAAGAAAGAAAGAAAGAGAGAAAGAAAGAAAGAAAGAGAGAACGAAAGAAAGAAAGAAAGAAGGAAGGAAGGAAGGAAGAAAGAAAAAAGAGCAACAAATAGAAAACAGTAACAAATATGTTAGATGTTCATCCCGTTATGCCAATATTCACTTTAAATGTCAATGGTCTAAATACAGCAATTAAAAGACAAAGACTGTCAGAACAATTGATAAACCAAGACCTAATGACATGTTGTCTACAAGAAACTCATTTTAATATAATGAATTTCAGTTTTACAAGAGGAAAGGTGTGACATATACAAAATAGGGAATGTTGTTCAACCTTAAAAATGAAATCATGCCATATTTTACAACATGAATGAACCTGGAAGAGAATATATTAAATTAAATAAGCCAGGGAGAAACTAAGATGGCGGCATAGGGAAACACCGAAATTGCTGCCTCCTACAACTTCAAAACACAATAAAAGGACAGAACGGACATCATCCAGAACTTACAGGAGGGCTGGCGGAGTGGAAATTCTACAGCTAGAAGGAAAGAGAAAAGCACATTGAGGGTCAGGAGCTGCAGAAGTAAAGTGCAAAGGGACGGAGGCTCGGGCGC